TGATCGACGCATAGAGCACACAGAATAACTGCAAATACATCTTTTCAAGCATTCAGGTCCAAACTGAAGTGACAAGAACGTCGCTGCTTTTTCGTTTTCACATCTATCAGTGTCTTTAACCAACCAATGTCGGAGTCTTTTGAACTGAAACCTGTAAGAAGACAGACGCTTACTCTGCCTAATCGTCCTGTTCATTTCTTCATCCTTCATTTCCACGGCATCTGCTGACCTCAACGTGATTTTCTCTATTCCGGATGAACAACGGAGAATAAGGTGCAGTGCGGCAGACGACACCTGCTCACATGCAGCGAAGCTCACGNTAATGACGAGTTTACCACCGAACCATTCCCAAATACGTGTCGGCTAACCTTCGCGTTGGTGACCCCCCCCCTTACTTTGTCCAACGGGTGCGAAGATGCGTCGAAGACCTCCCAACAATGATTGTTTTGTATAGACAAACCTAGGGTCTCATAGCGGCAAAACAAACCCGACCAAATAATAGAGCAATACAAGCAATCTCGAGCAATTTCAAGCAAAGGTTGCGTTGGCAGCAAAGGTGCTTCAGACTCGTATGCGCTGCTTGAGCCCCTGAAATGAGAGTGGTCACTGTTTGTCACGCAACTACCGAAGTAGGAGAAGCATCCCACGATAATCGATTCCCCAGTTCAGCGAATCCAACAGATTCATATTTATCAAGTGAGTGATGGAGGATTTGATTTGATTTCGAAGGTTATTCGTCGTGTATTCATATTTCAGGGACCTTCTCTTACGAACAAGCAAACTCGGTAGAATTTAATGGTCAACTGTCAAAGGCACATTTTATGTCAAGAACCACCGCGATCATTGGTCGACACAATGCGAGTGGCGTAACTCGAGGACTTGACGCAGTACGCTACATGGTCGGAATCTGACTGGCTGTTCGTGAATATTCATCTTTTTCACGGCGTCACGTGGCGAAGCATCACTTATCGTAATCGGAACTGACTTGATTTCACTGTGGTTTACGGAGTCTTTCTGTGAGCAGCTGCTGAAAGTCGGAACGATCATTGATCTGTTCTAAGATGAATGAATCACTCTTCCGACCAAATACTGTGTAGTAAACCATGAATCGAGTCGACAGGAGAATCATCCCCATCCTAAAAGGAATGGGGAGAGAAACCCGTCAGGCGCGGTTGTCCTTCCTTTTGTCAGAGATATCCAACACTATATCTAGTCTGACTAGCCACAGGAACCTAGATCATCTACCTAGAGTAGTTAAATAAGGTCTGATTACAAACCTTTCCCAAACTGGGTGAATACGGTGTCTCGCGAAACCCCGCTTTAAAACGTCCGTTTCAATTCTTCAACCACTGACCTTTAAAAATCAGAAGCCAGAAAGATCAGGGCAAAGTTGCATTCAAGGATGTACAACTATGGTACATCTGAAGGGAAAATGTGCTCACTATATATACGTTACACGGCCTTGAGAATTGGTGCCGGAAACGGGGTGGAGGTGATCAGTAAGATTCAGCATATTGTGGACTCACGTAACTGCTCGTGCGTTCGAGCACACTCCCGGGAATCTCTGGAATATGAGGTGGATTCTCATTGGTTGAATTCGTTTACTGATAGAAGCAGACCGATTTTCTGCATAGTTTTTGCCTTCTAGACAATGGATGAACTAACCCAAATAATATTGTCGTGATGGGCTCATTAAACGTGTGAATCTCGTCTCAGCGGGGTGCGTTTGGACTAAATAAACACTAACTCCATGCGAACTGTAGTTCCCCATCACCCTGTAGGTCAATTCTTCCGTTTCATTGAATATCTTCGAAAATCGCACCCATTGTCTTAAGAAACCTGGCCGCGTCACAGCCACCACCGAATCAGGGGTGAATATTATATAGGTATGTATACATATATCGGTGCTCAAGAATCTGGTGGAGGATAAAGATTTGATCTACACAGGCGCGTAATTGGGCAGAATCAGCCCCGTTCTTCACACTGCTATGCGATTGATATTCACAGCTTCCAAACAGCACGAGCTAGGCTCATGACAACCATCCGCTTGTTCAGAATCTTTGAGAATAAAAAATGAATTTTCCCGTGAGTGATTAGATTTCTTCATAAAGACGGGATGACAGGGTGTATGCTATCCTAACCGGGTGCTTTATGGCGTTTCAAAAATCGAAGATCTTTCTGGTTTTCCTCCTTCGTGTACGGGGGTAGTCTTCAAGGACAGACCAATGTGCACCTTTTGTTACCGGAACGAAAGATAAATGAAACCAGATGGCAGACAGAACTATTCACAGAAATGCTCTGATCAATGTTCGAAGTGTTCTTTCATGTTGCTGTTTCTCCCGCAAGTTAGCTCCTTACACCTGACTGCCTTCCACCAGTGACTCGAATGAGACGTATAACCTTCCTGATGTTCGCCATAATAGTCGCAGTCTCTAACTCTAAAATTTCGCGGTGGTAAGGAAGAACCACTCAAGTTTTAATGGTCGTTTTGAGTTTTACGAGGTGACATTGTCCTGTGATTGTTTAAATGTGATGGAGAGAACACGGAGTATCGCCGAATTCTGTAGGCTATCCACGCTGTTTGGTTTATACGTTCCCTTAGCTAATATCGCTTACGAAACTTACACATAACTTGGTACAAACCAGTGCGTGGTCAGAGCCCAGTCAGGTTCACCATTCCGAGCGACACTCACTCACGTACGCTTCCGCATCCTTTATAACTCATCACAGTGTATGTGAACCGGTTGTGAGCAGTCCTGTTCCCCAGAGGGCGGATGTCAGTTGGCTGTTCATCTTTTGGAGTGTCACAGGTCGGTGCGGTCCACAAATTGGCGATAGACAGAGCACAAAGCTAGAAGTATATCTCTCTATTGTTGAAACTGTTGTATCGGAGACCTAAACTACCTACGGGGTGACTTTGGCTAGATGATAGCAGAATACTTAGCAATCGCATCCATCGTACTTGGCACTCTCCTTATTGAGTACAACACTGAGCCGCGTTTTAGTCTTTTCATCACACAGTAATGTTAAATTGTGGTCAAGCAAATCGTCCTCATCATCCGGTTCTCCTTCTTCTGTTGAGCAATATGGACAGTACTGATGTGTTAGTGCGAGCGACTAAGACTTTATATTCATGACTGAACTGTTTATCTTATTACGTTTACTTCCCTGCAGATGAGCTTTCGGGTTCCCCCAACCCTGTTAGTCCTGTCCACGAAGCGAACACATCCAATTCGCTTACACCAACCGCCACCTCGGATGATCTTGTGACCCCAGCGGCAGATCGACAGAAGAAATTCAATTTTGACCAGCTGGTAAATGGGACCACAACAACAAGCGAGCACATTACACCTCGTTTGGAATTCTCTCCAGACTCGGGAACATCGATTGACATGGAGTCCGAGGGAGCGGCAGATTTCGAATTACCCGACGAACCTCCCTATTCCGTAAGCGGTCATTTATGTATACGATTGTTGCCTGTTTGAATTGTCATGGCACATCTGGCTTTCATAATTAACAGTATTAACGCTTAATCTATGGATCAAGCAGGTCCTATATGCCAGTGTAGGCCATTTACTCTCATTCGATTGTAGGTTTCCAATGTCATTGAATATGTGTTAGATGTGAAATTACATCTAAACTACGTGTATTGTTGACTGGTTCATATCGAATATATCTGTGGATTATCCCTCAGAGTTTCGTTTACCTAAATGGCTTTTGATTTGTCCGTCATTCACACAAAACATCCGATTCTTCCAATTTGAATACTCTGAAATACCCCACTCTTTAGCACTCTTCAGTTCGCCCCCCACACACAAATATTTTTTGGTCCGGATGGTGTGACAAACAGATCAAGGTTAGGTAGTCTCTATAACAAATAAATCAGTCCATCGTTTTCTCGTGTACGAAATACTGTCTAGTTTCCCAGACGAAACCAGGTAGATTCTCTTGGGTGCTTCACACCCGGAGGCTAGTGTTTAATAGCCGTGTTTCAAAAGTTCTCAACCCATATGAGTACGGATCGGGATTATTCATTGTATCACAGCAAGGAAATTGCTTGCTTCAACAATAATCGTCTAATGCAACCGATTTTACATTGCAAGCAATGCGACTGAGAGCCGAGTTTTGGGTAATTTTCTTTCTTTTTTACGATTGTTTAAACGCTTCGCCCATTTTAAACCTCCTTTGTGCTACCCGTCTTTTGCTTCTCGCATATTTTATTATCCTTATAGTAACTGGTCTCAATTGCAAGTGAATTCAGTGAAGTTGTCTGAATCAATGGAAACGTCATTGGTGATTGGTAATGACTACAGATTGATGAGATGGCTGAAATACTGCGTGATGGATGAAGAGGAAAATCATTGTTTTAAATGCTGTGTCAGGGAGTATGAGCTGTTATGAGTTTATTTATTGATGGTGGTGGCCATCATTAATACCCTCAATCTGCGAGCAGATGCTCAAGTGATAATTCCTGTCGTCTTATTGCTTGCTACGTTTATCTCATAAGGTTGATTTGTGGGTCACCACCCCAGTTCCTCACGTTTCGGTGTCCGTTCCCTCGACCGTTTTCGTTAGTCATGTGATTCCCTCTATTTGCAATTGAAAATGCGGTCAGGGAGCATAATAAAATTTTTTTTTACATTTCTTGTCAAGAAAATTTCGTAAAATCTCTTGGAATTTTAGTGGAATTCTTTAGAAAGTATACAGCCAACTAAACAAGAATACACGTGTGTGTGTGTGTTCCGCGGGGAAGGAAGGAGATCAGCTTATTTGTTCAGTTAACCTTGATTTCGCCCATTTTTAGTTTATTATCTTCAAATACGTTGAGCTTCACGTGGTGTAGCACATCGTTTCTCCCCCCGCTCTTACTGGAAAATGATAGCTCAGTTTGCAATTCTTTCAATGTTTTTGTTTTCGTTTTAATATGTTGTTTCTTTTTGTCACAACTGATAATTGTCAGTATAATTGATGTTCTAACTCGACAACCCCTTTTTTGGTAGGATGACATCTTGGATGCACTTGGTATCAATCTGTACCGAATCGACAAAGACGTGTCGCGATGTGATCGGAATCATAGCTTCTTCGCCAATCCGAGTGAGTGCATATTCGAACTGGTTGTCATGGAAGGACATTTTTCTCTGGTTTGGATTAGCCCATTCGATTGTTCAGAGGCACCAGGCTTTCTTGACCGTCGACCGCGTAACTCAGGGGTAAGGGTTTGATGTCCCAACCCGTTTGTTCGCGGTTCGAGTCCTGAAAGGCACACAAAAAGTACACACTGTTGACGAGTTCCAAACAAGACGGAACAGTTGTCCAGTACGCTGTTTGTCGTTCATCACAAATATTTCGGTCGCGTTTAAAAGACATTTTATTTTATTCGTTCAATTTCAAATGTGCTAATTGTTGAACTTTTGTAACTAGCGGATTTATACGTTGTCGACCTCGTCTCTAGGACGCGAATTCAAGAACGATCTCTGAGGTAGTTAGCATTAGATAGGTGTGAGTTACTTCACTAATCTGGGGCTATGTTTTAAGATAGGGCAGTCTTCGCCCGGAAAGCAGTCTGTTTGAATCAAATGTTCGTCATCGTCTGTACAAAGTATTAGGACATGTACTAATCAAATTCGCCAGAAACTAACGTTATCGCCGACACCTTGTTGTCAGTCCATGAACACGTGGCTCTGCGAAGCCTAGTTTTGCACTCTCGTACTGGGAATGCTGCTTTGCATTTCACTCGCTGAACTTGTCATGAAGCAGTCTAAAAGTAGAAAGTTTCTGTTTGGTGGAAATCTGTCTTCTTATACTGCTGACTTTGTAATCGACCGAATTGTTTGTTTCACGTATTTTTGTTCCTTGTTTCAGAAAACTAGGTTGAAACTTTGTGCTTTTCCTTCGTATACTTCAAGAAAACATTACTTGTTCAGTATTTCCCTTGAGAATACTTGATTTGTTATTCATTGGATTGCTTGAATTTCCATTTTGGCTTTTAGAAAAAGATCTCACCTCAGATGACCTCAACAAAATCCAATTGGAGTCCGACTTTTCCGAACTGAATGACAATCTTAACAAATTGCGCAATGTAATTTGCACCTGGGTCTGGCTCCATTTAGATGCCGGATATATACAAGGCATGTGCGATCTATTGGCTCCGCTGTTGGTCGTTTTGGAGGATGAAAGTTTAACTTATGCCTGTTTTTGTCGTCTGATGGAATGGATGTTGCCCAACTTCCCCGTATCCAAAGCCACATCGCCACCTGCATCCAGCCGGACAAGATTGCCCGTGTCCTGTTCTTCAACTAACAGCGCAGTGACTGAAACACCCGCAGCTGCACCGGTCAGACCCACACTGTTATCCTTAGTCCAGAAGCACACGAATGGAAGCTCGTCCCCAGTCAGTCCAGCTCCATCTAACGATTCCGTCAATTTGATTGACGAGGGCTGTTCTGATGTTGATCGCTCCTCATCTGTGAAGATTCTGCTACCTCAGTCAGTCCGTGTCCCCACAGTCCCGTCACCGTACGCCTCGGCTTTGGCCTCATCCGATGTGAATTGTATGGATCTACGATTTTCTAACCTAAAAGCTCTGATAGAAGTAAGTTTTTACTTCTCTTTTTGTGCCCTTGGCATCCGTCGTGTGGGTTGTGTACGATGTTTATCCTACCGACGCGTTTCAACACGTTCTGACTAATGAAAAAAACTTTCAGTATGTTTGCCAAGTTTATTCACTCAGCATAATGTGGTAGTTTTCGTCAGTAGTTCAAAATGAATCCAAACGATATTCATTTTGACACCAGCCAATCTCCAGATAAATCCTACTTGTACAAATGAGGGTGTTATGGCTTGATTCACATCGCCATCAAGAGTTTGGGATTTACGTAATAGATGAGTACCGGTTACGCACCCCTGATAATTTGCAAGGACTACGAAATCGTTCTCTCTTCATTCATCTACTGCTTCAAATATCCGTTATTCTGTCGGATCTTGTCGGTTGTTTCGAAAAGAGCCATTTTATTGCACTGAACGGTTCGATGTGCCTCTTCTTTTCTCACATTGAGAGCACGTTCTAAGTGCTAGTGCGATAACAGTGAGCTACCTTGGATCACGTACTCCTTTGAATTTCATTTGTTAATTCACTGGATCTTTTTTTAGAAGTTCTTCATACGTGCATTCAATTTAAAGTGCTAATTCCGTTCGCGCATTCTACGATGCTAGCCCATTTGTTATGCTTTTATTTCGTACACGCTTATTTTGAGTAGCATAGAATTATGCTGTATTAGAAAAGCTGAACCTCATTCGTCATACTACAGTAGTCAAGGAATCGCTTTATATCTCTCAAAGAGTGGGTATTCAACCACCACATAACCACAGTGTGTTAGAAATTTGAAAATGCGAAATATTACACATCAATTAAGAAATGAAACAGACAACAACATCAAAAGAAACCAATTGCATACCAGGATGTTTATGATTGGTTTAGTTTAGCATTTTTCGCAGATTTTCTGCAACGAGTTCATGGTTTGTAAGAAGTCTGGCGAGATACGGTACAATAGAGCACTTGTAAGCTCCAGGACGTGCCTTTAGAAGTTTGTGAGTGGAACGGGTGGATGAATAAGAAAGGCACTGATTAAGAGCATGATAAAGGGGATGAGAAATATCAGATAAAATCTTATTGGAGAATGTTTACAGGACTTGGGGTGGTGTGCCACCACCTGCTGCACGAGAAGTTCCCGTGATATAAGACTGCATACCGACAAAAACTTGAGGGATCGGGAAGTGAGTTTGAGGTCCTAGTTAAAAAGACCGGGAAAGATAACAGGGGAAATGCGCAAGCAAAAAACAAAACATCTTATAAGATGTTTTGGGACAAAAAGTGATTTAGGACGTGAAAAATAAAACGAGAGCCTTCTGACCTTCAGGCAAACTTCATTGATATGGTCAGACCAGGTGAGGTTACGGTTGAAAATAACGCCAAGGTATTTGATAGATGGTTGTCGTTCCATCTGATCACTGAAGATAGATAAAGGTAGACTGGCATTTGACGATTCATTATAC